GTTTAATCTGATTCTGTGCAAAAACTAATAATCCACCAAAATAAATGTAGTTGCTTATCTTTAACATATCCAAGACTGTGATAANGAGGTTTCTCAATAATCTAATTTCCCCTCCTCGACTCCTATCCTCGATACTTAGTCCCGCCCACAGGAGATGCGAGCGGAGGACTGAGGAGGGGAACCGAGGAGAGAAGAGGGGAAGCAGCAGGCGGTTAAAGAAATGAGAACTCCTCTCCTCTGAGCGGTCATTTTAAAGAGACGTCCATTAATGATGACAGCAGCCCTCTGTCTGATGGACAGATCACAGATGTGTTCATGACGACTTATATTTACTTTTAATTAATTGACAGTCCGGTATAATGAGACAATAACAGGCTACAGATGCGGACATATATGAAATTGTATATATTTATATAAATATATACAATTTCAGAATCAAAAACACATTATTATGAGAGTGCTCTCATACTTAACACAATCAGACTGGATATATACAGGACTGTCTCAGAAAATTAGAATATTGTGATAAAGTTCTTTATTTTCTGTAATGCAATTAAAAAAACTTTTGTTTTTTTAATTGCATTACAGAAAATAAAGAACTTTATCACAATATTCTAATTTTCTGAGACAGTCCTGTATATATCCAGTCTGATTGTGTTAAGTATGANTATTCCTGGAAATTATATATTTACTAATAAATGATATACAATTATTCCATTATATGGTGCATGTTAGCTCTGTTATTGTCTCATTATGTACCGGACGTCAATTAACTTAAAGCTAAATATAAGTCGTCCATGAACACATCTGGTGGATCTGCCATCAGGGACAGAGGGCCTGCTGCTCGATCATTAATGGACGATCTCTTTAAAATGACCGCTCAGGAGGGAGGAGGAAGTTCTCATCCCTTAACCGCCTGCTGCTTCCCCTCTTCTCTCCTCGGTTCCCCTCCTCAGTCCTCCGCTCGCATCTCCTGTGGGCGGGACTAAGTATCGAGGATAGGAGTCGAGGAGGGGAAATTAGATTATTGAGAAACCTCTAATGTTTTTGCAGGTAGAATGTTGCGGCTTCGCTGTAAAACCAAAAATGGCAGCCACATAATGCAGGGCTTGACTCACCAGTCCTGTGTCCAAGAGCTGAAGAGTATGGTGGAGGAGCTGACTGGTATCCCATGTGATGTGCAGAAAATCATGGTTGGTTATCCACCCAGCAGCTTGGATCTTCAAAATGGAGACGCTCACCTCAAAGACTACCCTATCAAATCAGGTATGTTGATGTCAAACATTCAGATACATTCACATCATGTATTGACTGGGTTAACATTTAAGTACATTTTTGAATAAATTATTATTATAACATCTGGAAAGTTGGCGGCATATATCTCAAGAAGTGGCAAACCTATTTGCAGTTAAGGTGTTCTGACTCAACATATTGTTAACAACTGCAAAGCTGTAAACAAAATAGATGTTTCCTCTCAATTTGTTCTTACAAAAGTCAGACTAGGCTGAACTGTTTGGTCTTCCTCTACAGGAGACACACTCATTGTTGAGGAAGACAAAAACAAGCCAAAACCGCCTCAGGAGCAACCCGCTGTGACTAAAGTACCACGACTGGAAGCCTCGCCCATGCTGGCACGTAGAGTCGTCCCAGCAGACAACTCATGCCTCTTCACCAGTGTGTATTATGTGGTAGAGGGGGGGGTGTATGACCCTGCGTGTGCCCCAGAGATGCGCGGCCTCATAGCCCAGATCGTGTCAAGTGACACCACAGCTTACTCTGAAGCGGTGCTGGGGAAGACCAACGAGGACTACTGCACGTGGATCAGATGTGACGACACCTGGGGGGGGGCAATCGAGGTCTCCATCCTGTCCAAGTTTTACCAGTGCGAGATCTGTGTGGTGGACACTCAGACGGTGCGAGTGGATCGATTTGGGGAGGATGCTGGATACCACAAACGTGTGCTGCTCATCTACGACGGCATCCACTACGACCCCCTGCAGAAAGAGACGCCCGGCTCCGACGCTCCGCCCCTGACTATCTTCTCCACCACGGACGACGTCATCCTGGCTCTGGCACTTGAGCTGGCGGATGAAGCCCGCCGCAAGCGGCAGTTCACGGATGTTAACCGCTTCGCTTTGCGCTGCATGGTTTGCCAGCAAGGCCTTGTGGGACAAAAGGAGGCGCGTGAACATGCCAAGGACACAGGCCACACCAATTTCGGCGAAGTGTGAACACTGTTTTGTCTTTTCTCCCTCTCACAAATACAACATCTACCAACCCCTTGCCCCACGTCTGGCAACTTTGTTGGTCTCTGCTTGTGTGATCTTCTACCTCACGACATCAAAGGAGAATCTGCAGACACTGTGTCGAGCCTCTAACCTGTTAAGTATTACTGTTTAACTGCTGTAAGTTCTCAAAGTCAGGAACGCTACTGCCGTGCTACGATGTCTCTAAACCATCTTTTTGAGTCTGTTACGTAGGTTTTTTAATCTGGGTCAACAACAAAAAGCAAACCATTTTTAGGATTATTTTTTTAACCCTTTCGATGACTTGATAGCTGGTGGTGTAGAAAAAAAATGAATGTGTTAAATGAAAAAAATCTTCCAATTTGCAAATACTTGCTTGGATGGACTAAACTTCTGTTTGATTAAAACCCGGCTATCTGGCTCTTGAAAGAGTTTAAAACGACTAGGAATGATTTGCACTATGATGTGATCCAACTCACCGTTGTCTTAAGTGCAGCACAACAAGTATGACTGTTATTCATCATGTTGATTATGTAGCATGTTTTTTGTGTCATAAACTAGTTGAATACTTAAAATGTATAATTTGGTCAAATGTAGAAATCTGCTCTGTGCATCACAGTTTGGTTTGAATATAGTGAGCAGTGGTCATTGAGATTGAGGTTATGCATTTTGAAATACAATATCACGTTGCCAATTGTGATCCAAAGTTAGCTTAACTACTTATGTGAGACTATTTCATCTTTATTTTTGTCACAATATGGCTTATCAGTTATCTTATTTTAGATTAGTCAAAAGAAATGGTGCTGAAAACATAAAATCTGTAGCTCTGTTTTTCAGTACAGAACAGTATTTCAGGAGTGTTTTTATTTTTTATTATAGTGTTATATTCAAATGTCATGCTGAAATCTTTTTTTTTAAATCCAGTTTTAGATTTACATTGCTGCATATTTTTGAAAAAACACTAAGCATGTTCATTTGTTTGAGCGTTTATTTAATATTACAAAAGATGGTGAGAGGGAAATCTAAAGTGTGAGACTGTGAATTGATGTACGAGAAATCTTGCTGACGGAATGCATTTAGGATTCAGCTAATCAACAATAACCATTTATCTTTGAAATCACAACTTTTCAGCTAACATTTGAAGGCCTAAAGTATCTTTTGCCAGGGTGTTTGGAAATAAGTATTTTTTGGTTTACTATGTAGTGCATTTTGCCATAAAAGATGATGTTACACTGTATGCGTTGCACAAATGGAGCATGTTCTCACATTTTCAGCTAAAGTCAGACATGATCTCTTTGCTCTTCTGCACTGCCTATAAGGATGAAGCATGCACTTGTTTCTTTAAAACCATAGCTCAAACATTATAAATTAGAGGAGGCCAAAATAGGTAATTGTGGGATTACTTTTTCTCTTGAGAACCAGTGTTTGTAATTCACTTTCTGTGATGACAATATTGGTACAGAGTTGTTGCCAAAAAATCTATTTGATGGTGGAGGATTTGATTGAGATTTTCTTGTAGATTTATCTTAATTATTTGAATGTGAATAAATATGATTTCCCCCCTCATCTGTTACCTTAAGGTAGTTTTAACAGGGAAAAGTGAAAGTAGGAACTGGCTTCGTTGTGTTTACCAAGATCTCATGACTCTTCAAGGACAAAAACAATGAATGTTACACACTAAGCACTACGGAAAAACTGGACTTACTTGATCTTTTCAGTGTTGTGTCACAATTAAAAGTTATAGCCAACGGTGTTGAGTACGAGTCACTTTGTATATGAGTCAATCAAACCCTTGTTTGCAAAACAACCCTGATCCTGGGCCATGTTAAGAAACATCTAGTCCTTAATTGGATGTAAAATGATTTTACAAAGTGTTTTACCACCATTTACATTACATCATCAGTACTGCTACTACAAAAAAGCAAGATAATAGATAAGTAGACTTCACGTTTGCATTTACACTAAACTGAAAACAGGGCTGTTTTTCTCATCCCCCAAAAGATAACTGAACCTCTACAGCAGTATCATGCAACAATCCCATTAATGCACCAGTATTATTATTTAACATATAATTAACATCATTTAGTTCAAAACACTGACGGAAAACAGTTCATTTAGCTGATTTGAAGTCACTGGGTCACATGACATAAACATATGGGGAAAAATTATGACTTTTCAATACAAAAAACTGCTGCATTTTTTATCATTTATGTATAAAATGGAAGAAGCCCTAAAATCAAATACAAATAAGTAGGTGTGTCCTTATTGTCTAGTGTAATAATACAAATCCGCATTGATATGGATGACAGCTATTGAGTAGAAATGAGACTTCAATGTAGTAATTGCTTTATTTTCATAATCAATTATCAATAATCAATGTGAAAATATCAGAAAAACAACATGGTATAGTTTGTCAAAATTATCTTTGTACGTTGTAAATGTCATACAAAACTAAATAGTATAGCATGTTTAAAAAAAAAGGTATAGTACAGCATGTACAAAACAATTATATTACACTGTTCAATATATCAGAAAAATATCATACTATACCTATAGTGTATTTGTCTCTATATTTAAAGAAAAGAAAAGAAAAAGAGCACTAAATAATCATATTATAGTTTGTTAAACATATCAGTATAGTATAACAAAAATATGTCTAAAATATCAGGAAAAATAACACAGTATAGTGTGTCAAAAATACATAAAGAAAAAACAACATTAAACATATGTTTAAAAACAACATAGTATAGTCTGTTGTAAATACAAAAAAAACATACTAAATAAAAAATATAAATAAAAAACAACATAGTCGAAAATATAAAAAACTGAAATGTAAACTCCACAGACAAATAGTTTTGTAACGGGACCCTTATCTAAAAAATAATAATTCCGGACCTAAGGGGGACACTCATCTAAAAATGTTGTTCCGGACATAAGGCGGACCATTATCAAAAAAGTCATTTTTTTTTTCAAGGGGGGACCCTTATCTAAAGTGTCACGTTTTAGATAAGGGGGACCCTTATTTAAAAAATATATTCCAGACATGAGTGGGGACCCTTATCTAAAAAGTAAAATTGTATTATAAGGGGGATCCTTATTTTAAAAAAAAACGTTTTAGATAAGGGTCCCTTAGCTTAAAAGTATCTTTATATAAAAAAATGTAAATCATATTATAGTCAAATCAGAAAAAAATCATAGCATAGCCTTTCAGAAAAACAATGAAAAAGTCAGTGTAGGATGTCCAAAAATGTGAAAAATGTCCCAGTTTAGCATTTCAATAATATCATGAACAAAGTCTTGGCGAGATGGAAACAGTTATAGATACCAGCAGCCAATGTATTGATGGTCCAATAAGAAGTGGATAAGAGGACTGAAGTGAAAGTGTATCGAATATCCAACCTAAACCTAACTTCACTCTGTTTTGTCTCACCTTAAAATAACGTTATTTTACAAGTATTTATCTTTCGTATGATATATAGTTAGTATAAGTATAGTAACTTGTTATATCCAAATTTGGGAGTAATTATCGCAAGAGTAATCCACTTATATTTCCTTTACAGCAGTAAGTAACAAGTTACTTTTTGAGTAAGGAGCCCGACTTCACACCACAGTCAGAAGAGAGTCTGAAACAGATACTGATCAGCAGCTTAATGCAGTTGTAGGTAATATGACAACGACAGCTCGTGGGTCTTAAGGAGAATCCTGCTCTCTGATTGGCTAAAAGCTTAGAGCATAAAGTCCCTCGTGCAGGTAACACAGAGCCACTCTCTCATTTACCCGCGTCTTCACTTGCACAAGAAGCAGAAGATGGATAACTGACGAATGCTCGAAGATTCAAGGTATGTGTTCAATTAGTGCAATTTCCAGTTCGTGGTCAGTTTAAATACCTCTTTATTTAAATGGTTAAAATCGTGTTTTTTTTGTGGAAAGCTGATCCACATCAGGTTGATGTACAACTTCTAAATTTTGGCTTTAACCATTATATTTCCTAGCTTCTGTTGCCACACTTCATGTGTATATAATGTCATAGGCTACTGTTGTAATTAAATAACTTCTTTACAATATTTAGTTATCTTGCCTTTTGGGGCTGAATTGGAAGTCTTACATTTAACATATTTTGGTAAATGTATATTTTGTTTATGACAATTCTAATTTACTTTTAGTTTTAAGGCATGGGGTTTGAGGCAGAGGTTTAAAATAACTTTACAATAAAAACAGTGATGATTCAAACCAGTTGCACAGTCCCTTTCAATCAATGCATTAATACAAGCTTGGAAAGTTGCTCTTTAATAGATACAATAAAAAACCAAACTGCCACTGTGTTAATAGCAGAGATAATGTTCCATGGAGTTGGACAAAGCACTTAGGTTTATTGCTTTAATCTCTGCTTGTCCATGTCTTTCTTTGGCGGTAGCTACTTTGTTGATAGGTGTGTCTACAGTATAGAGATAACATTATGATGCACTGTATGTTCATCCATGCACATGCACATGTCCCTCCACTGGAAATGGTCAACAGGGATCAATGAATAACTACATTCTTAGTAGTCTGAAGGTTTTATTATGAAAAGGGAAAAACACATTGACGCAACACACAGCACGCAGCACTGTAATACTTCATTACTTAAACAGATAACCAAAAATCAGAAGCTTCTAAAACCCAGCGTTGTTATTTGCATGCAAATCAACGCAGATTGTGTCAGTTTAAAACAATTCATGTTATCTCAGTTTCACATCCTGACCAAAATACATCAGCACATATGGGAACATTTACATATTTGCCAGCTGATAGTGATGGGATGGCATGACAAAGCAACCCAGGTGAACAGGAGTGCCTTTGTGCCTCTCTTGGCTTATCTAGAAAGCCTTCCCTCTCAGGTGTTGAAACTTATCCAAAAGTACATTTCTCTACACTACATACAGACGTTCCTTTATACTAAACTTTCAGAAGAAAAGTCAAATGTATTTTTCGTCTATAAAGTGTGTTTTCTGGTAGAAAGAAACTGTTGAACAACTGTTCTTTCGATTTGTAATATTTTCGTCTTTAAGTGTAAATGTTTCCATCCCCAGGAGTAAACCTATCCCTTAACCTGGTATTCATATTTACATTATCTGAAAACAATGATAATTTCTATAGATACACCCAAATGAATTGTGTTGCAGTAAAACAAGATGGATATCATATGGCTTTCATGGGATCGTTTCTGCTGCCCTCCACACTCTGAAACTGATCCGGTCGAGGAAGATTAGGAGTGGCATGCGTCCCGTAATCTGAGTCACATGCAGCTAGAGGACTAGCTAGGTATCTGTCAAAAACACTGAGCTAAAATACCCTGTCGTTCTGCAAAGCTCATGTGCATGTAAAGCCCAACAAGGTTATAAGATTGAGATAGAAACTATTTTATAAATTCTTTAAACATGACTCCATTTGAACACATACAGAGGTTTTAGCCATTAACTACAAACTATGTTTCCTTAACATTACTTGGAACCATTTGTAAGACATTCTAACTTGATGAACTTCAAGGCAGCAAATGGTAATGATGTAATGCCAATTTAGTATGGAAATTAACTTTATGATCATTTAGTAAGCATTTAGGAAATTTTAAAAACACTTTTGATAGATTTATATTAGTATTGACTTGTTTTCAACAGTCACTGTACTTAACAGTTTTTACATAATCTTGTTTTATCTTCCCCTAGGGCGCCTGCAAGGTAGATATTATCACTTATATAGATATTATCACAAATGAATAATTTTGCATTAAGAAAACATGGATATCATAGAATGTGTGCTATTGTTACGACCCGCCCCCTACTCCGTGGTAGTGGCTCGTGGGGAGACCCGCAACATAAAAGAAAACACACAAAAAAAAACGACAAACGAACGAGGTCTGGATTATTATATCAGATTCTTGCGCAACCACAATGCACCCCACATTTACAGTTTATGTTAATAATATTAAAGTTACCAAGGAAAAATTGTAATCGTGTTTGACATAACTTCAGGTTAGGGTTTGACACTGTTTACATGGAATTCTCAAGTATTAAACATCAGCCAAATCTAAAGCCTCTGTGGGATCAAATGTACAGCTGACCTGGCTCCAAGCCGAATATTGTTAACCAAGGCCTGTGCACATTGTACTGTCCATTATTTAATCATAACAGAGGAAGCCAACATTCCTTTACACTTAAAAATCAAATGTCATATGGCAGTTACATCACATCAGATGTGGTCAAAGGTCTGGAGTATAAAAAATAGTCAGTGAAAGAAATACTGAATGTTACTAAATGGTGCTTTGACAATATGTCAGACGATGTGATCAATAATTGTATCCTGAGCCCCTGAGTTTTTACACTACACATCTGGCATCATGAAGTTTTGAAGCAGTATTGAGGGTAAACTTATGTTCTTTTTATCGTTACTGTTCTTTAGAGGTCTGGACATTGTAGGACTCTTGTAATTTCCCCAAGGTAAGAACCAACGTACTGCTAATAGGTTCCATTTAAAAGTTAAAGTAAATGTGTCTAAAGAATTTGATTAGACCATGTAAGCGTGTAATTACATACATGTTTATAGACAACCCTTCATTACATCACACCAGTGTGTTTTCTACCTGTAGGTTGCACACACATTAGTTATTTGTAAACTGGGTATTCTTTAATACTGATTAGAAATTGCTGCACAAGGTTAGCACTAGGTTACAGAAAATGTGGATAGACCAACAATATGGCGAGAGATTGAATGCAAAGGTACTGCAAGATAATGCAACAGGAAAGTATTTGAAAGAGAATTCTCAATGTGTTGGGAGATAGGGTACACAGACACAAAAAGAAAGAATGTGACTGAAATAGGCACAACTAGAATGATCTATTAAATAGACGTTACTTATCAAATAACATATTCATCAATTTGACTATGGCAAGGTTTTTGAGAAACTATTTTTTATTTAACTCACAATGTATTTTCTTTTTTAACAGAGTGGAACGCAACAACCTTTGCCACTGACATTGGATACATTGGGGTACTAAAGATGCCTAAAAGCGACACCTGGCCAGGAGGCATTGGACTGGAGACCAGCATGGACAGCGCCGGCAGCTGCGACAGCGTTGTCAGTGCCAACTCTATCTTTGTAAGTTTCTAACCTTCATCTCTTGCATCTAAGAAAGTAGTAGCTCTACTACAATTCCTTATGCAAAGCAACATGGGTACTTTTAGGTGTCTTCATAGATGTGTGTATTTAAAAGTCAAGGATTGTTCCCATAAAAAAGGGTGTCACATCTCGATTCTTCAGTTTGACAATTTCTCAGATTTAGTGTGATATCTCATTATGGATGTGTTGTCAAAAGGAAAGTCCTCTTTTGATGCATTGCAGAGTGATGATAGTCTAGAGCACCTCTCTGCTGAAGAGAAGGCCTGCCTCATGTTTCTGGAGGAGACTATTGATTCTCTGGATACTGAGGAGGATAGTGGGCTGTCTAATGATGAGCCTGACCAACGGCCCAGCGCCGGCAACCTGGTCTCCAAACTGGCTGACCTGTCGGCTTCCATGAGCAAAACCAAGCTCAACAGTGAGTTCATCTCAAGGCCCAAATGCAGAATTACCTTAAATGTTCTCAATGAAATACTTTCTATTGACCAACAAGTGTTTGTTTTTTAGGTTTGCGGAAACAAGACTTTTCGGAAAATGCTGACACCAAACCCATGCACAGCTACCTGGTTCCTACACCGTTTGTTATAGCTAGCAGCTCTCCATGTTCCATACCAAATGCAAAGGCAGGTTTCTCTCCTGACAAAAACCTGAGCTCTAAGTCTCAGTTCCCTCCTTCAAGCAACAAACCTGATCACAAACACAAGCCGAAACCTGTTAACCACCATGTATCTTTCTATGCTAATGTTGGGATACCTCCTGCCACCAAACCCAGGGATTTGACTGAAAGTTTACCCAGAGGCCCCCTGTCCTACGACGCACTGGTTTATCTGCGGAGGAGTGCCTCAACAAAGAAGACGCCTCTATGTCCCACGATTGATCATACAATAGACTTGAACAAGCACCCTCCTGTCACAGAGGAAGGCCCACACTTTGGAAAGCTACCAAGATCTGACCGATTTAACTCGGAGGCTTTTAAGTCCAAGACAGATCCTCCAGTTGTGGCCCCGAAACCCAAACAGATAACAGCCAAAACATCTGTTAAAACCCCATATGCAGAAGATGTTTCCTACAATATAAAGAATGCGAAAGACCCCAAGGTTGTAAGACTGGAGGCTTTGGAGAAGCTCGGTCTCCTGAAAGACGAACAGCCCAAAAATGAGACAGTAGCTCCACGGCCTCCCACTAAATCTCACTCCTCTCTGGACCCGACGACCAGCAGATTCTCAAGAGGTCCATCTAATGCTAACCCATCAAGAAGCCCGTCGTTGTCCTATTCTCATGTCCCTACAGAGCCTAAGAACAAGGCTCTGCAGAGCAGTGCCAGCTTCCATCTCTGCTCCAGACGGGACCAGCTGCCTGCGTCCGCGTCACATTCCGCTCTATCCAACGGAGTGAAGGCAGCTAGCCTAGAGCGCGCTGCTACACGGGACCAACACAGAAATACAGAAAACACACAGCCTGTACCCCACAAACCCCCAAACTCAGTGGGATATACGGTGATGGTGGTGCCTGGGATGGGAGCTGATCGAAAGGAAGCACTCAGAAAGCTTGGACTGCTCAAAGACTGAATCAGGTAAACAGCAGAAGAGTGTCTGAGTAAAAGCAGAGCGAAGAGTTCAAGAGTACCACCAGCTTTAAGAGATTAGACATTAGAGCATTGAGTGGAAACTTGGCACTTGGTGCTTTGGCAGAGTCAAGCAGGAGAGGATGAAGAAGAGTGAGAGTTTGAAGGGCAAGATTACACCTTTGAATATAGTTTGCAATACAGGGGACTGGATTGAGGTACATGAGGGTCGTTTTGTTCTCGATTATGGATCTTTTGTAGATTTCACCTATAAAAAGCAGTTTAAACTCTTCAAGTCCTTAAGGTTCTGTGTTGATTAAATGGTATGTTGATGTAACGCCATCTAATCAGGATATCTTATTGTGTTTTTTTGAACAAATTTCACTTAAATATGATTTTTCAAGACCCACACCTAATCTATTACACCTGAATGGTTGGTTAAATACTCATTTCCATACAGTATGCACACACAAATGTATGGCTGTAAACAAGTATTTATCCTGATTTACCAAGAGAATGCAAATATAAATATTGCAGGTAACCTATTTTGCACATAAAAACATTTTAGAGCCGTATTATGGCTTTCCATTATATTGCACATATGCTGCTCCACTGCACTTAAAAGTAAACATCGACCCAAATCAACAGATTTTTTACATTTCTGATTGTTTTACAAATCCCTGTTGTGCCTATAAGTAGATTGTTGAGAACATTCATTGGAGCAAAATCTTAAAGATCTTTATAATACAAACTAAAAAAGGTTTGGAAAATGTTTTGGGTTGATTTTTCTGTATTCTCTAATCTTCAAAACGCATCAGCAGTACATCCTATGTATCAAGCCCCGGATTTGTTTTTGCTACTATTTTTACAGGGTGTATGGTGTAGATGGTTTTTAATGTGAGAGACTGTGTCCAAGCCTCTGCCTTAAGTGTCTAGATACTGGATGAGTTCAACCAGAATTAAAAAGAGTGATAATGTCATTTTTACCATTTTGATGAATACCTGTGAAAATAAAGACATCTGCATATTAAATACCATGTATTGTTATCTTTAACCTCACATCTTTTATACATGTTGTGATTTAAATGTGATTAACTTAGTTTGCTTTTCAGACTGAGCTGCTGAATAACATCCTGCAGGTACAGCTGCACAGAGAGACAAAGGGTCTTTGATTCAGTCCAACTATCATCCCTGTAAACCTGCACAGGGCTTTACGTGCCTGCCTCATCCAGCACTCCACTTACAGTCACACTACTCATCTTACACGCCACTTGAGCAACGAGAACGCCTGCTCAGCTGATCTTCCATTATTCTGATTATCCTGAGCCCCACCTCTTAGCACACCGGCGTCTTCCTTTCTGTTTTCTCACTATCCCTTCCATGTAAGACTTCTAATTCCCACCACTGACTTTTCTAAATGGCCAGGCATTGGTTACGCAACAGTCTTAAATTAGTGTGTGGTTGATTATTGTGAGAGACAATTACATTTGGCTTCTGAAGTGTTATCTCTTGGTCAGGACAGGAGCTGGCCTAATAGCCCAGAATGTGTGTATAGTATGTCTGCACACAGGCAAACAAAGGGTGTCAAATGTTGAAACTGACACGGCTCTCTGCCGGTCAACTAATATTAAACAATGGGTGAAGAAATCAGGCCATGGCCACATTCGGAAATAGGATACCTGGACAGAAAAGTGAACTGCGGAAATGATTGATTCATCAGTAGAGATACAAATGCTACTACGGCGTTGAGCTGTTGCTGTGTTAGCAAAAAAAAAAAAAAACTAAAACAACAGGATACTTGATCATAGGATATTCTAAAATCATAATCCAGTATTAAAACTAAATCCATGCAACCTTTCGACATTGGCTACAGAATAAAAAGAGCTCTCTTGTCTCTATTATCCTTAAGTAATCCACTAATAATGATCCACTACGCTGACCCCAGAGGTCATAAGTAACATGAGTTAAGCTTGGACTACCTGTACACGCTGCTGCCATGACAACAGCCCCCCCTGACCTAATTACGACAGTGGAGTCATCTGTAGCTGCAACAACACAAAGTCAGACTCTGATCTAATTTCTTATTAATGTTTGTAACACACTCAACAACCCATGTCTAAAAAAGGAAAAAGAAACGTGCCATAAAGTGGTGGAATCATTTGTTTTATATTTATATTTAGCAGCAAGATGTTGGAAGTTAGATAACGAACAGGTTTAATTGTAGTTTACAATCAGCAATAGCAAAATACAATATAAATGAAATATTATGGTAGCTAGAGTTTCACAGTTTAGGTACAGTGCAAAAAATTCAACAGTATTTTCAGAATGTAGGTAGTATTTTTTTCTCAAAATAACAATTGAAAATATTTTCGAAACACATGACAACTGAATTTAAAGTGTCCATAAAAAGTGTTGGCTGTGTGCATTCTGGTGGGCATTAGACTTCAAATAATAAAATGTATAATGTATGTGACCAATAACAGGGTATATATTAAAAAAAACAGATGACAGTGAGATGTGTTTAAGTATTTAAGTACCTAAGGGATGTTATTTTAAATCCCCTCGTTATGGATGTAGGATTTACTTTTCTTGCGTTTCACTCTACCATTGGGCACAGGGACTCCCAGAGACTCCAGGCGGAAGGGGCGCGGGAACACAGGGTCTGAGCCCACAGGGGAGCTCATGGTGGAGCCGCTCACTGTGAGGTGGGCCGACCCGTTAGCCGGGGGGGGAGAGTGGACCGCTGTAGGAGAGAGAGCTCCATCAGATGGGTAAAACCAACATGAGCATAAACACCTAAATATGAAACAGCTTTAGCGTTACTTGAATGCTGCATACATTCGTACCACTGAATCCAAATGTATTTAATTTATTATCTTAACAGTTATAGTTAATTGTATTTCACTGTACAATATTTAACCTTACATTCTGTTTCTTTGAACTGCACTATTTTATTAAAATGTATCGTACTTATTTTTGTATTATTATTATTATTGTTATTTTGTTGTCTGATGTCCTTTATATAATATGTTGCATAGTTGGCGGAGCCATAACTACACTGTAGCTACTGTGCATATGATAATAAAAACTTTGAATCTTGAATCACTTGAGATTCATATTTAGCAAATTATTCGTTAAATGTATCGTTTATTTATCTTTCTATATTATTTGTATGGCCATTTTATTGTAGATAGGGTAGACGCCAGTTCTACCAGGTAAGATATTGGTTTCCCAAGTGTGTCTTCTTTTTCAAATTAAAAAGTAACATTTAAGTATTTCTTACCTTCTACAATTTAATCATGATTCATTTTGTGCCATTGTTTTTATGATATTGGTCTGCATTAAGTTCAGAATCCCCCAAAGAAGATATACCACAGTGAGAGCACCATGTTAAACTGAGCTAACTAGCCAACTAAACTGTAGCATCTCATTAGTAAATGTCTGTGTGTGCTTGTCCTGTCCATACCGTGTCCCTTGGTAGCTTCACGTCCCAGCAGTTGGCTCGCTCTCTTTGATTTGAAGTAGCTGTTGGCGATGTTCTCACTGTCACTGCGGGCCAGCATCTCCTTGTACCTGTCCTCCTCCATCTGCTAAAAACACAACAGGGTTAAGGCTCTGTGACAGTGTTAGGTGTGTGTTGGATGATGCGTGGAACATGAACGCACCATGAAGGGCTCTCCAGTATCAGCAGCTGGACCTCTGCCAGCTGAAACCTTCGGAGCCCCTGCTGTGAGGGAGAAAGAAAGCAAGATAATATTTAAGATAAGATAAGAAGTACTTTATTGATCCCAGGGTTATAGCCCTACATCATTACTAAAACTGACACACATTTCACTCCAATATGCCATTGTGCACCTGAAGGCAGTGTTGTTTTCTGCACCGTCACCTCCGGCAGCCTCCAGGTGGCGCTGTCCTCCTCCCACACAGCTTCCTTCTTCAGGCGGTCCAGGTTGCTGTAGTTGCAGTCGCGGCGCACCAGCGGCACCATGCGCTCCAGCAGGCTGTGCAGTAGCAAGCCCTCCCTCTCCAGCCGCCGGATGGTTGCCAGGTAGTCATCCCGCTCCACCTCGAACTCCGCCTGCAGGTCCCGGATCTCCAGTCTGGCTCCTTTCAGCTGTCACCAGTGGGGGGGGGGAACACTCAGATGCTTTACTTAAGTAGAAGCAGTGACACCAAAAGGGCTGAGCTACAGGGTCCCTATTGTGCTTTTTGGGGTTTTCCCTTTCCTGTAGTGTGTTATATAGGTTTGGGTGCATGTAAACGCCTCCATTGGGCTAAGTATACTTCAGAGACATAGTGACGTCACTACGTAACACTTGCGTTTCTATTTGTTAGCGCTCAAACACATTGTACGTGAACATCTCTAAGCGGATGACCAATCACAACAAAGCAATCAGACTGGGCTCTGGTTTCAGACAGAGGGTGAAAGGAGGTGCTGCAGCACAGACAGTATGAGAATCCTTTTTTATCCCCAAAAATTACTAGATATATAATTTATTCATATATTATAAATTCATTTTTGGTGTCAAAGGTCCCATGTCATGGCCATTTCTACTGATCATAATTCCATTGTTGAGGTCTACTAAAATAGATTTACATTGTTCAATGTTCCAAACTCACATTGGTTTCTCATACAGGTTCTCTGTATAGTATGTGTATTCACTCTCTGTCCTACACGGCTTGTTGGAGCTCCTGCTTGTTGAACTTTGCTCCAAACCCATTGCAGTTCCCATAACAACTTTAATATTTGTCCTACTGTACTGTAGCTGTGACCCACCTTTCCCTGGACCTTGACCAGCATTTGGCTTTTGGCGTGGACTTCCTCCTGGATGGAGTTGTAGACATTTAACAGCACATGTTCACTGTCCTCAATGTTCTTTGACAAGGCGCTGATAAGATGGACTTTTCTCTGGTCAGCCAGGTTCTTCCTCTGCCTGTGTCTCAGCTGCAAGTCTTTGTTCCTGGCCTGCTCTCCTCCCACCACCTCCTGTTCCAGTTGCTGCAGTCTGGGGACAGGTGGATCAACAGGGAACTGTTCATACTGGACTGTCATGTCTGAAATTTAAATTGAATAAATAACACTAAAATGCACTATTAATCTTGGTACAGATCCATTTTATAGTTCAATTGTAGTGGACACATACTGAGTAAGATGTTTTTAGATGTAAATTGGCACTTCAATAGTGTTTTATTTGTCAGATAGTTACAGATGCTTATCTTCAGGGACGGTCAGGCATTTTTGTTCTGTTTTATTTTCTATTTCTAGATGATTATATATATATTTTTTTCTTATGTTGTGCAATACTTTGTTTTACATGCTGCTGCAACGTCCCACATGTCCCAATCTGTGATTAATAAAACTATATCTTATCTTATCTTTATTATCGTATGTATAATATCAATTAAGCATTGAGACAGTTTCTTACAACCTCAGACCTTTTTTAATTATCAGAACAATTGTCTACACAGAGTTACTACAATTTAGGCAAATTCAAATTATGACCTTTTAAATGCCACTTGGAATTAGAGTTCAAGACCATTTAAGGTGCAATTTCAAGATCTAACTTATGTTAATATTACAATTATTTTCCCAAAAATATATGTCACCAATTATTCAAACAATTATTTACATTGCAACTTCAGAAAAGTATGCATACAATCCTATTTCCTATGTGCTAGCATGTTCAAGACTTTTGAAATATGTACTTACAAATTAAATACCAATTAAGTCCATATTTTAATACATTTATTTATATATTCAATATCAATTGAATGCCTCTTAAGGCTTTTTAGGATGCGTGGGAACCCTGGTACACAAAAACGTTATGGTGTTATGGCGTCACGCTCCACATCCTTCGCACAACGTTGGAAAGACATCATGTAAAAAGACATAAAGTGCCAGCAGTTGTAATGGCTGGTTCTGTGTGTACAATGTGTCTCTACAAACCTCTCCAGGACATGTTGCTGGTCCAGAGGCCCTGCAGTGACATCAGGAGCGTCTTTGAGCCCGTCTCTGTCTGGACCTTCTGGGACACCGACTGCCGGTACAGCAGGCTGGCTCGCCAACATGAGGAAATAATATCCAATGAGTATTTGAATGTCAGCATTCATGTCCAGCAGTTATTTCTAAAATGGTAGATACCTAATATAGAAACTATAACATATGTTGAATGTTTACTGGTAGTGTCGGAAGGTGCTAATGAACAGTACCTTTGTCTGGGAAGTTACTCCAGTTGTTTTGTGGCAAACGGGATCAGTGTGGCTGGAGCCCTCTTCTTCTGAGACCTCTGTCATACAGCTAGCACTTACTGATGCTTAGAAGCAAGACAATCCAGTGATAGTAAATACACAAAAAAAAGGACTCTTGATAAAAAAATGCAATCTCATACAACAACATTGTGTTCAGCAGGAGTGTTTACTTAGGCTTTTTTGACATGCTAATATATGCACTGGACCACATTTCAAAACTAGTTACCTGGTTCTTGGGAAGAAGATTTTCTGTTTTCATTCTTGGGGCCAGAGCTCCCCCTGCTGGCTCGAGCCTTCTCCAGATTGGACAGTTTGGAATCATAGGAGGAACGCAGGGCAGCGATGTCCTCCTGCAGCTTTGCTTTGGATTCCAGCTCTGCATTGTACTCAGCCTGCAACTTGGCCAGCCTCTCTTCGTACTCCTGTGGCGAGAGCAGAATACAGCCCAATAAATCACCTGCTCTCTTCTCAAAGCATGTAGAGATGTGAAGTGATATATGGGTGTGGGAACGGCCTGTAGTTGCCTCTTTAATCTTCTCCTTCTCTACTTCTGTGGTGCTGGACTGTGGCCTTGAAAGAGCAGCAGGGGGTTCCTCAGAAAAGTGACCAGAGAGCAGAGCTGCATGCAAAATAGAAGAAAAAGTAGGATAAAAAGCAGGCGTTAAAAATCACACAACAAGTAAGCGTATCCAGGTGGAACGTCTCTTGATATCTCTTGGTAGCATAAAAATCACTTAGCAATATTCAAATGAAAATGTCATTTTGGCTTGAATTAAAAGGCTGGTCAAAAAATACTTACATGATAGGTTAGTGGTGCCCATCTGACCTGAGATAAGGGCCCGCAACTTCTTGATCTCCTCCTGATACTCCCGCAGCAGAGCATCTTTGGGGTCCTCATTGATACGAGGCCTGTTCTGGATGCTCTTGGCCCGGTTGGCATAGCGCAGTGTGCTCAGGGTTTCCTCGTAGTTGTTATCCGAGGGGGACAGACAGGCGATCATTAATGTGCGCGTGTTTCCTCCCAGAGAGTCCTGCAGCAGCCTGGTCAGCTTGGAGTCTCGGTAGGGGACGTGTTTGGAGCGTCCGTCCACCAGCGCAGAGATGACGTTACCCAGCGCCGAGAGGGACAGGTTGATCTTGGTGGCCTCGCGGAGCCGCTCACCTGTAGCACCGGTTTTAGACTGACGCTCACTTCCCGCCAGGTCAACCAGGTTAAGTTTACCTGCTCGTAGATGATCCTGGCCTTCTGCATCTGAGAATATGGGATGACAAAGAACATTGTGAAAAATGTGACTTGTTACTGTTACAATTACTAAAACAGACACCCTGAAATTATTTAATTTTTTTAAACCTGCTGGGTCTGGGTCTTTGATCCTATTCAGCATTTAAATGTATCAAAGCTGGTCACACTTTATTTAAAAATATTCATGGGCTTTTGTGCAGTTGGGTGATTTTAATTTTACTTGTATTATTGTTTGTTGGTTTTCACGCAAGGAAAAATCCACCCAGTAATGACCAAGATCGCAATTTATCTTATCCATATTATATATAATAATATAGATAGTCCATTGCAAATAAAGCAGGCTGCAATGAAGCATTTAACATGTATTTGTCTTTCATCATCCACAAGTTTTTTTAAATCAAAGTTGTTATGATCTTATTGAAAAGGCATTCCGGAAAATCTAAGTTCAGCGGAGAGTGGATGCATACAAAAATAAAAACGACACACTATCAAAGATTTCAGAAAGTGGAATTTAAAGGGGCCCTATAATGCTCATTTTCAGGTTTCAGGTTCATATTTGTATTTTGTTCCTCTACTGTGACATGTCTCCATGCTTTAATGTTCAAAAGGGTATTTATTTGTCTCATACTGCCTTTGCTGCAGCATCTCTTTTCACCCTCTGTTTGAAACCAGAGCCCAGTCTGCTTTGATTGGTTAGCTAGACGGCTCTGTTGTGACAATAAGTATCTTCTTGGTCGAATGCACTTATTGTAAGTCAGCTAAATGAAATGTAATGTAGTGTAATGTGATTAGTCAACCGCTTAGAGATGTCCCGCCCCTTCACCTATCATATAGAATGGGTTGGAGCACTAATGCAGGCATTTCAGACAGGGGGGGAGTGCGTGGGAGAGAAAATCTCTCTGGAGGGAACTTTGGGATTTTAGCCTTTGCAGAGCATTTTCATGCACCAAAACCTCTATAACACACTACAGGAGGAAAACCCCTAAAAGCATAATAGGGCCTCTTTAAAGAAAGGAAGATCAAGCACATGTTCCTTCATGCAGACAAAAATGCCTTTATCACATATTAAACGGAATGTCAATATGTTTCAACATGTTAAACGTATTGCATCAGTGTGTGTGTGTGTGTGTGTGTGTGTGTGTGTGTGTGTGTGTGTGTGTGTGTGTGTGTGTGTGTGTGTATGTTCACCAGTGTTGCAGATCTCCAGGTGGATGGTGAAGATGGAGTGTGAGCGAGAGGAGTCCTTGTTCATCAGCGTGAAGCCCACTGCCCTGTTCCCCCAGCCTTGCACTATGATTCTCTCACACTCACCCACACTGTGCACAGTGTGCATGGAGAGGTCCCGCACATACACCCCCCGCTCTGGATGCTCTTTCAGCTAAGTATTCATCAACCACACAAAAACACATACACACAATCCAAATCTGTCACCTTGTTCAAACACCTTGACCTTCAAGCAACTACTGTGCTTGTAAGTCACCATGGCAACTTACACAGTACATGCACATTCCACAAAAAGCTCACAGACAGAGAATAGCCTGAGAAGCTATAATCACTTTATTTACTAAAGAGCAATAATCCTTTGGGCTTCTGATTTGTTTATTGAAACAACAAAAGACTTACCTCCAATCTGTGTTTGGTGTCATTTCCCAATAGGTCTCTGATTTCTTCATTGTAAATCTCCAAGTAGGAGGCCCTCACCAGGAATTTTGTATTTTCTGCACACTAGCTTGCACACATAAACACATCAAATGAGTCTCTCGGAGCACATAAAGCTCAGACAAGCCTGGACAGAGACTATATGTAAGAAAAGTCGTAGCCACTGGAATGGCGTACAAAAAGTGCTTAGTCGGATCCCAACCTACCTAAATACTTCTAAAAGACAAAGAAATCAATTTTAAGCATTATTATTACACTAGCATTATCAGTTTACCTTGTTATTTTCTACAACAATATTTAAATTGAAGTGGATCCTTGCTTTTTTTTTCAGAAGCTGAAACCAGTGACCAATTATTTTTTTATTAACCTGAGAATTAATTGTCACTTTTGTGCATTTTCATTTATCTGTACATTAAATAAATATGCAAAACGTTCTCTTCATTTTAAGTATAATGGTACCTTTCTTGTAAATTGTGGTGTAGCATAACTTACATAATTTTTGATTAAATTATATTATATTGTACATTCATTTCCTGTACTGTATTGTTTATTTTTGTGTTGCTAAATATATATATTTTTTCATCTACCTGTATACTCTCAAAGATGTGCTCAAAGGCTCGTGGGATGACCCCCCTCTGGGCTGTAGGGTCGGACACCCCCTGCATGGTGAAAGACTTCCCACTTCCAGTCTGTCCATAGGCGAAGATTGTGCCATTGTATCCCTCAGTGACACCCTGTAAAGAAAATTATAGGAATAAAGTCTGGCATTAAAAAAGTACCTTAAAAAAGCACCCTTCTGACCTCTGAAGCGGTCAGTCACTTTCAGAGGTCAGAAGGGTGCTTTTTTTAAGGTACGTTACCTGTTAAGTAAATAATTAGGTCTGCTGTCATGAGCAATAAGATATAGACTGTTGTTGGACTCAGGGTGTCCAGTGACCACCAGTGACTACTTTTGCAATGCTTCTGTGTGTTGGCACTGAAAACTAAACACATAAAAAAAAAAAAACAGAATCAAAAGCGGGTGCCAGAGCTTACCTCAACCAAAGGATAGGCAATCTCGTTGTACATCTGCTCAGTGGTTTGATCAATGAAATAGGTCCCATCAAAGGTGAACTGTTTGGGCGGCTCATCCACTGCCCCGGGCTTTTCTATGAAGCACTGGCAGTGGTGCGGGTCGATGGAGAGAACCGTGTTAGAGCCGAGAGCCTTCTCCCGGTCATTCAGGGGCCTGCACCTCACAACCACCTTCACTGACTCTGATCCCATAGCTCAACATCCACAACACAGCAGTGGACGTATACAGTATCTAGCTAAAGATAACAAAAAAAAACAAAGAACACTGTTCAATTATCATTTCATATACATATTTAACGTAACACAGCCGAGTTGAGCCTCATTAGCTTACCTAGTTTAAAAGCACGCGGACAAATGGCTGAAAAACAGTTCCCATCCCGGATAAAGTCGGTTTAGAAAAGCTGACAAGCACAGGATATCAAACACCACCAACAAAATAATAATGGACTTAAAAAGTAAAGTGAGACTTTTAATTTCCTGTTCAGGTGTCATTATAGGTTCCATTCCATTCTGCACTGGTTCGTGGTTCCTCCCACAGCGTTGACATTGCTTAGCAACCATAAACAACCGTTGACCAATGGAACCGAACCTACCTCGACCGGCGGCCATTTTGGTGAGGGCAGTCCATTTATGGGCTAATGGTAAGTGCAAGAATGTATACATTTTATATATTTTTATATCACTACGCAATTATGGTATAAGTTAATTTTTTGGACAAAAAAGACTACTACAGACCCTTGACAGATATGTGGTGTCGGCATTTAACCTTACATCATACTGCCACTAGCTAAAGTTAGCCAACTAAATTTGAGTCAGCATTTTTTAATCCCTTACACTGAAATTACACTTACTTATTGTTTCCAAATTGCAGAGTTTGCACACTATGTCCATGCCATTGCCTGTTTTGTAGTAATATTGCTTGGAGTTACAAATAAATGTTTTTAGTATAGGAGAAAATGGGTTCAACAAATAGGCTACCCAGTATTATAGGTTTCGTTTCACCTTCCAAAAACCTATGTGGTACAATAAGTTAATAACTCATGCATTCATAAAGGTTAAAAGATGCAGTCTTTGTTGAGAGATGTTGAATATCATTTTCAAATGATAACATAATACAGAATGGTGTTTCTGTTTTTAAGCCACTCTCATTGGTATTTATTGGGTGGACGATTTAAGAGCAACACCGGTCTTGTGTAAATGCAATACCAATACAACATCACCACAAACTCCAAGCACCAGAGCAATCATTAAGGTCAATTCACTTCTATAAAACAGATAACATAAACGGATCATAACCTAAATAAATGTAGGATTTATTTATTTATCGATGATTATAAAATAACTAAGTAAACCTTAGAAACTGAGTGTGTATCACGATAATTGAACAATGTAATTTAGAGTTCTGCTCTAAGATTTAGAAACTTTGTACAGTATACACTGTCTCATAATACTAAGCAGAAAGTATTACCCGCCTCAATACCAAAGCCACAGGTGATGTTGTGGTATGCAGTCATAAATAATAAAAATCAACACTTTTGCAGGAAATTGGTTGAAAACAGAGAACCCCAGTTGTTTAATCTCAAACAGGGGTGAATAATATGAAAATTACCCTATGTGTAAAAGATAGTACAGAATAATCCAATGTATTACCTAAATTGAAATGGAACATTTAGGAATAACAACAAAATATCAGACAATCTTATGATAAAGACTTAATTTAGGTAAACTGCATGCAAAAAGTACCAGTTTAAATTAGAAGTAACAAACTTTAAAACACAGAAGCATGACCCATCTTAGGGGCCATCATACAGGAAAAAGCTATACACTAAGGTGTCGAGATATAGAAAATATTTAATATCATCATGGTCCTATTCTTTTACACCATAACACATTGTGGTGCATAGGATTACTGCTTACATATTCCCCAGGTCTAACGTCTAAACACATTAAGAGAAACATGAAAGCAAGATTAAAATTGGAGGAATAATAACATTTGATCAAATGTATTTGTGCAACTTGCAAGAAATAAAAGTATTCTGTATGACCCAATCAATTAGTTAGGTTTCACGTCTTAAAAACACAGATAAACTCTTCTAGCCTTTCAGGGCTATTAAAAAGACTATCGAAAGACATAAAAAAGCAGCTTTACAAATAAGTACCCCGTTATAAAATGACTAGTATACTATACACATTAAGCGCCAACACTTTTGTGAAGCCTCCCAAAAACACCAAATATGATTTAAAGATAAAAGATGATACATGAGCAAAAATCTAAAAAGTTGTCACTCATTCTGAGGTTTCCAGTGTCCAGTGATTAAACCAAGTCCTTTCTGTTGGTACTTTTAATTCTGGCTTTGTTTATGCTCTTGCGTGGGTTTAGAGGCTGCTGAGAGCTGGAACTCTCCTCCCACTCGTAACAGTGGTTTACCCGGGCACAGCTCAGCAGACACGGCAGCTCTTCCCGAGACTCTGTGTAGTGTTCGATCAGCTCTGCTATGGAACTGAATTCAGTCTTGCATTGCTGAGAGATAAACATAAAGATTACTGTAAAAGCAGAAGTAACAGCTAGGGTTACACAGTATCAGTTTGACATTTATAATCAAATGCCAACATGACTCAATTCTTGGTTTCAGTTTTCACAGATAATATGTCTGTCTCAGTGTTTGCCTCTTTAACACTCTTTTTACACCCAATAAATATCCCTTGGTTTATTAGTAAAACCCTCAATTGCAGAGGAATATGTTCCTATAAGGAATCTAGATTAATAAATCAATGCAATCATGAAAATTCAGCGTCTTTATGATTATCTAAAAAATAGTCAAAAAAGACATGTTTGGTGTGTGAATATATCCTTGGTAGCTCAAATGAATCCGATACATTTGTTTACAGCACAAACTAAGTACAAATGTACCTGGCAGACTCACCGTTTGCTAATAATTCTGTGTACTAATTAACCTTAGCAAAACATTTACCTCGAGCAGGAATTTCCCTTTGTGAGTGTTTCCGATAAGGTGGGTGATCGGGCCAGAGGGAAAGCGGATGATGAGAGAGCCACATTTGGGGTTTTTAGGATGTGGGCACAGGAGGTATGACCCGAGAACGTCGTCTGCAAGCAGGGAAAAGCTGCTGTCACTGAAAAAAAGAAAAATACACATTTAGAGAAACACAGACATATAGTGGGCAAGAAGACGCATCTATTTCAAATGCATGAAGGTCTCTTACGTTGCGATACCAGCCCAACACCACACCGCTTGAGCCAGTGCTTCTTCTGTTTCGGCCAAGCTCGGAGCCCGTGATCTCCTCACCGGTACTTTGTCTTGCTCCTTTCCTGATTCACATTTAAAAGAAAAATCAGTGTGAATTTTGAGATGATTAAAAGCTAAGAGGTCAAAAAGCAGAAATATTTCACCAGCCGTGTTTGCGTGTGGAACCATTCAATAAATCCCAACCTCAGTGAATGTTTGGTTTAGAAGGCCCCGACACACCAAAGGAAACCAGAAGACTGTTCGACTCGGCCAAAAAGTCACCCTTTAATACACTGCAGAGAGTACAGCTAACAGCCAATTAGCACGTACAAGTGAGCCAGGACATGACTCTCCATAAGCAGCATGCAACGGTTATTATAAAAAGAACCGTAAAACGTAGGGGTATAAAGGCTTAGCATACACACATTAAAACCACCAGCGTTTGCCAAACATTTTTGCACCACTCTTACTCCCTACCTATAGCTTCATTCCAGGTGGCAATATTGAACAAATTTGAACAAATTCAAAAAGATACCGTGTGTACACTTTTGACTTCAATTGTTTGTTTTCCTTACGTCAGTTTCTCTTCTTGTACATATTTGCTTAAGCTCAACAGCCAATCAACTGATTTAACATTTTAAAAAGGAAGTGGCCAAAAATAGTACCAACTGTGCAGGACACAACGCAAATAGTACACCAAAAGATGCTAACCAACGGCAATGACCGTCGATCAATAATCGGCTTTGTGTGTCAGGACCCTAAAACAAGATTTAGATAAACAAAGCAGTTGGTGATGAAAGAAAACATTCAAAAGAGAATTTTAACACATTAAAGCTACTAGTTCAATCTAACTGAGAAGTTTTAAGAACATTTACATCTGTTGTGAGTCACGTGAGACCAGAACCACCATCTTATCACGTGTCTAAATGTCTACCTGCTGACACCACGACAGACAGTGAGTGGCTGCCCTTCACCTAAACATTGAGGGGCTTCCTTTACCTCCACAACTCTTTGACTCTTGAAAGCGCTTTGTGAACACTTAGCCCACCTTGTGAGGCACTCAGTCGCTCCTGAACGTTGCGCTGTTTGAGCGGTGTGAAAGTGAAAGAGCGGTAGGCCCCAGATTTCAGCACCTTGTTGCGGATGGCCTTCTTGCGCACCAGGGAGGGGGAGGAAGTGGGGAAGACTTCATCTTGGCTGCTGTTCAGGTCATCGGAAGACTTTTGATTGTTCTATAGATGCAATGAAAGGAAATAATGGGGTAAAAGGAATAATATTATCTTGTATAGGTGAAAATAAGAAGACGTTCAAGTCCAAACCTTAGATCCCGGCAGCAAGCCCTGAAAAGGAGCTCTTCTGAAGGACACCAGGGCACTGACGCTGAGAGGGAAGCCGTGGTTGAGCAGGGAGGGGTTGCGACGCGGCGCCGAGCCCACAGAGTCTCCCTGAGCCTCCTCTGGGTGCTTTTCCAAGTAAGACAGCTGGAAACAGCGGCAAAGCAGCATGTTCAGGAACTGTGCCTAGAGGAGAACATGGACACAGAAAACACAACAGTTCTACTTAAATTGTATCGTCAATTTTTGTGTTTTTTGATCAACCAAATTCCTATTTAACATTTCTCAGTTAAGAGCAACACTAACAAAAAACGTTTTCTCTCTTTGGAAGAAATATCACCAAAAACTCTAAAACGCCTGACTGACGATAAATGTGGCCAAACAACAAGGTTGGTTTTAAGCAAAGGTTTATTAAGTTAACATGGTTTATTTAAGGTCAGAAATGTTTTGATAAAAGTTTGGTAGACCAAAGGTGAGTGATCTTGTGAGGGTTTCTTTTGTGTTAATTATAAGATATTTTGATAGCAGAATTATAGTCTCTACAGGCCCACAGAAGCAAAATAAATACTGCGTGGGTCTGTCTTTGTTCTGCTCAGTCAATGGGACAACCTGATATCATTCATATTGCTACATAAGTCTGTGTGGGTGTGCTGGGGAATTTAGGTCAAAGTGAAACCTGGTTTTACTTGAATATTATTGGCAGCACAATTTCAGGTGTGCTGTTGTGTAATTGAATCACCATCTTCTTAAGCATATTGTTAAAATGTCAGGGGCTGTGACAACTTACTACACCGAAGGGTTAAATTAGGGGCAGATATTTAGAAGTATTTTCAAAAATTAAGCTCCACCATATATACCAACAAACAGTTCCCGTGTATGAAAATTATTTACTACCACTATTTATATTCTTTTGTGTAGGATATCTTTTAAATGTGTTTACTGTTACTGCACAATTATTATTATTATTTATTTTTTGAAGGTGGCGTACATTTCTATATATCTTTTGCTGGAAAAACAATTCCATTAAAATATATTTGTCAAATAAACAGGTTTCTTTAAAATACAGCACATATTCTTCCTTTGATGCTTCCCATATATACTTTTTTTATAGGGCCATTATGTCAAAATCCTAGATATTCATAGTTCCACATCTGCCCTAAATTGTTCTTGTGTAAGACACATAACTTAACTATTTCTCCTATCAATATTATACCCAAAGTTTCTCACCGCTCTTGAATGCCTTGCTTGGAAGACATGGCAGTAGAGCTGGGCATCAGTGCTGCCTGGGTTGTGGGAGACGAAGGCAAACTGGGCCTCGGAGGGCCAGGCGGTGGACAGAGAGACTCGCCGCAGAGCGTGAGCCATCAGGAGTTTCTGCATACAGTGACACGAGAAAAACAACTTCATCTTTAATGTTCCAGAGTTAAAACAAACTCATTAGATCAAGATGTCCATGAATGTAGCATGCCTAACGTTTCAATACTTGCCGTTTCATCCTCATTGTACATCTTCACACCTTTGATGGAGAATTTTAGGGATACAGGCCTCCTTCTTTTGCATGTCTGAAGAAAACAAACATATCCAATATTGTTTTTTCCAAAAACAGGCACAACTTGCTACTTTTGGGGATAATCTAAGGCCCAGGGCTTACTATGAGGGACTTCAGCTGAGTATGCAGCTGCTCTATCTGGTCATCCAAGCAGCAGTCATCCACAGGAAATGAACCCACATACTTCACAGCAAAGAAAAACATTAAAGCGAAACACAAACACACAAAAAGACACAAACATGAAATACTTGTTCTAGTTACCTCTGCTGATCGAGTGACTGTACCATCTTCTCCCACCGGTGCCTCACCCATGCTTCTGTTTATCTCTGCAAAAGCAGACATATTTTAGACCTAAAAGCAAAGCTCAGTTAGAATAAAGCTAATTTGAAAAGCTATCAAACAAACAAGCAGATCACTTAGTCAGACATTTACAATAGTACAGCTGCATGAGGTTTAAACAGGGTGTAATGAAGTGAACGTTTGGCAGAGTATTGTCAAATACAAGACCATCTTGAAATATCAGAATACTTGAAGACAGGTAGTGATTTAGGATTGGTCTGTGGTTTTAAAAACGGGCTTGTTAGTCTTTTATCCAATGTCCGAGCAACGTAACCGAGTCAAAGTCGCTGCCAACAAGTGGGAACGTTGTTTTACTGTTTCACTTGTATTCATCCCGAACAGTACAATAAATCAAAAATGACAAAGTTAGGTGTCATTCGGCTTCAATTTGTTCTGCGTTTCCGCCCAGTGTAGGCGGACAGTGCACCGGAGCGCCTCGACCTGTTGAAACAAAAGCTTTGAAATCACATAAACTTACTTTTGGAGTTGTTAGACCTCAGCCCGTTCCTCGCGAAGCCTGCGTCTCCTGTCTCCTTCAGTGAGTCTTCACCATAGGTCTTCACACGGCGCGTGACACCGACGTCCTGCACCTTTACCTGCTGAGCTGCTGCCCGAGGCGGGGCTCGAGGGGAGGGAACCGGGGAGTAAGGAGAGGGGGTACGTGAACACGTCGGCCCCTGAGATATGATATTCAGCGGTAAGATAACTCGTTGATCACCCCTCCCTCTCCCTGCTGCTCTTTTCTATAAATCCACTTTTTCCCCCTCAGCTCCTCACATTCCTACATATTGCGAAATGTATCGCGATGACGTCACGCGCCCTGTGGTGGGAAAGTCAGGTTCCTCTGTGACAAGAACATTTCGCTATGATGGTTCAAGTATCATTTTCTATAAACTTGCTTTTTTGGTAAAATATTCAATGCTTAAATTAAACTCTCTTAGAAGTTTAGTGAGAAAGATTGTTTGGACACCTGAGGTAGCCCTGGGCCCAAAACAAGCACTTGACATTTGACAAATAATTTCCTGCATTTTGATTAATTTTCAATTTATGGTGAAAATGTCTATTTGAAAATAATCAGGCAGCAGGTAACAAATATAATATATTTAATAGTACAATATAATGGATTATAATGCAATAAGGCCGCCAGGCTTTCTGTACTGCTTTCAAATATATGTAACTGAACAGAAATAGACATTTTAGATATCAATGTGATTGTATGTGATAATCAATGCGTTGAGGTTATGATTCCCCGTATTAAATTGTATGGAAATCAGGATGGCCTAAGTAAATGATTTATTGAACTCTGCTGGTCATCAACCCAGTATTGTTTAACTGATAAGACAAAACACGTTTGAGAGCCCAGCATTTAACAACAGTTTGCTTCTTCTCTCTTTATGAAGAGATGTGATTCATCCCACCAAGTCTAAAATTCGCGAGAGATCTAACGGCTCTTTATATTTTAGAAGAATTTCTCTGACAGCCTACATGCAGACATGCTTTACCCTTCCCTTCTGATTTGTATGGGGAAAGAACATCTTTACATATGCATTTGAAAAAAAATAGCAAACCTGACCTACACATCACTATAAAATATTGTGGTATCTTGTCCAGAAGAAATTATAAAACGCATACGTTCATACCTAATACTACTTAATGTTTTTGAATCAGGACAATTATGCATTGTATTTATAATGAATCACTCAAACTAAATAAAGGAAAAATAAATAACAGCAAGATTTTACAAATATAGCCATTTTATTAATGACTTGGAAAAAAAGCTTAACAACACAAGGAATACATGCATGCAGGGTATGTATGAGCTATTGTCCTCCTTGTTCGTACTCACAAGACACATTTCTTACAGTTGGATACTGAATTACAGCTGTGAAGCAATTAAATCAATTCATGTATATGCTCGTTTACACACACATCAAAAAAGACATTTTCTCCTATGTGTATGAAATGAAAACTAACTTAGTGTTTTATCATCTGTATTTTAACATGTCACCTGCAAGCCTAATCTTTTGTTGGGGCAATCTTTTGTTAAATAACACATCAAATCATTATTCATAATAATAAAAAATATTTTAAGAACAAATGTCGATACAATTTTAAATCTAATGTAGTACTGCACGGACAAAAAATATTGTCATTTACTCCCAGTACACAGGAATACAACCATAGAATCTGTGTTTTATAAAATATGAATGTCTTTAGGAACAGTTTCGAACCAACATTTTAACCTCAAATGTAATTTTTGCAACCATCCAAAACACTAATATCTCACTTCATTTGATAGGAACTCGTACTGCCAACGGCTAATGAATACATGAGGAACAGATATAAAAATGATAGTTACTAAATGGCTCTAGTTACAGATTATTGGACCTCGCTATGTTTCCCGATCTGGCAGCTGATCTGTTTTAACAGCAACACTTACTGAGCTTTCTCTACACATGGTGATTAAAAAATGAAATTTAGGAAACTCAACGTACAGTAAACTTGGTAGGATAACGTTCTTATTCTACAATAGAAATAAAAAAAAAAAACTACTGCCCTGTTAAAAAGGGGAGAACATGGTCAAAAGAGAGAGCACTGAAACGAAGCGGCTGCATATTCAGAGCAGCTCAGTTCGTGGAAGGCGGCGCCGGCTCAGTTTTTCCCTCTCTTGGACTTACGAGTGGTCGGCTTACCGCCCTTCACCCCCTTTTTCGCTGCGGGCCCTTTTGTAGGTTCAGGCTCAGGCTGCCTTTTGTTTGCCGGCTTTTTAACCGCCGGCTCCTTAGGAGAAGACTCTTCAGGCTTAGATCGTCTGGACCTTGTTGTCTCCTTCGTGACTACCGCCTCCTCAGGGGACGAATCTCTGGAAGCGGGTCGTTTGGCCCCCCGCTTGGCCAACTTTTTAACCGCTGGTGTTTTGGGCTTTGTTGCAGGAGCTCCTCTCTTGACGGGCGTGGCTTTAACTGGCGTCTGGGTTTCCTTCTTAGGGGGTGCTGGTTTATTCCCTCGTCTCTTGGCTGAAGACACCGCTTTCTTGGCCGGAGACTTCTTGGCAAGGGTCCGTCCCCTGCCCTTAGCTTTTGACAGGCTGGGGCTCCGAGATTTCTTGGCCGGTGGGGGGCGGCGAGCCTTGGGTGGAGGCCTCTTCGGACTTTTTCTACTAGTAATTTGAACAGGGAGATGTTAGTTCAGTAGGAGCATAATTATCAACACATCACTTGTAGATGAAAGGTTATTGGAAAACAGCCTCAATTAAAAGACGTAGCGCTTGCACACTGACCCCAAATCCACCAATGTATCAAGATGAACAGCATTTCAATGTCAGTTAGGTCATTGACAGACTTTACAAAATAATAATCGTCCCTAAAAAAAGTCAATATCATGTATTTACGCACTACTGAAGATCTGAAACTAGAATATATGGTTAAATAGGAAAATATTAATTCAAAATTATTATATGTATTATAATTGTTATGGTATAGCTTGGCAACGGTCAATCTAACCAAGTGGTTCTCAAAGTGGGGGGCGCGCCCCCCCTGGGGGGCGCAGAGGCATGACAGGAGGGGCGCAAGAGACCAGGAGGAAAAATGGTCATTAAAAAAAAAAGATTAACCCTCCGGTATCATTCGATTGGAGTACGCAAATTAGTCATTCGAGACAAAAATGTCCACTGCAAAAGACTGATAAAAACATATTAAAAGGTTTTTTTCACAACTTTTTTGGGTTCAATATTTAAAGCAACTTCCGCCCTAATAGAAAATACCAAAAGTGTAATCATTTTCAGGATTTTAACCCTTTAAATGTCATTTTGAAAACATGAAACCGCTGTTTTTTTTAATGATGAAAACAGAGAAAATTAGTTATTTTCCAAAAAATACATATCTGGTTACTGGCTCTTTTTTTTTTTTATAACAGTCTTGGATATGTCAAAGATTAGCAGCAAAATTGATTTTTTTGCATTATTAGTTTTTGCACAAAATCAGACTGAACAAAAAAGTTACATATTAGTCATTCGGGACAAAAATGTCCACTTCCAAAAACTGCTCTAAAATGACTTTAGCTCTTAGACTACACGCTCCAGAACTAGGAAAGAAAGCGAGCTGGAAGGGGACTTTCGACCGTCTCGCTGTGTCTCCTAGGTATGGGCATCGACGCGATGTACCGGAGACGTGATAGATAGGCGCTCCGTTAAGCAAGGTAGTAACCCACCTGTAGTTTTTGTAAACAGTTTAGACGCAAAGGGAGAGTGCTCCTGCGGCGCGGAGATGTAAGGACGGACGGTCGTCCGGAAACGGGCGCAAAGTCCCCGGGTGCGCAACAATACGGGTAATGCTCGACAACGTTTTATTCTTAAGTACTGCGACGCTTAGGAAGAAACGTAAAAAAGAAATGGGAACTCTAGTAGTCGTCATAACGAGCCCTGTACTGGTGTGACGTACCCCCCGCAAGCAAACGGTTTGACCTCGGGCGCTACAACTACGGTGTTACGAAACTCGTTTGTAACCTGGATCCTATCAACGTCTACGTTACATCGCGGGTCCTGGAATGCGCCCCTACCCCAGAGACACAGGAGAGGTGAAAAGTCCGCCTCTCCAGTACTGCCATTCTTGCTAGTCTCGAGGGTGTGTTTGTAGACTAGTAAAGAGATTCGTACCGGGAAGTGCACCCGCCGTGTTGTTGTTTATAAGAACAAAATGAAAAGTGAAACCCCGCTTAGAGACCACGATAGTAGGGAAACACCACGGACGTAACTCCACCTCCGCCTACAGTGAGTCGGTGAAATAACTGGTAGTCCGGAAAAAGGTAGATTTCCAAAACCCATCGAGGAATTATGTAGAGTTGGAGTAGATGGTAACAGCAACAAGGAGTCGTCGGGAGGAGTCGTCGAGACAGTTGGAGGGTCGTTTCCCTCCTAGGAGTCAACTAAGGGAGACGACAGTTGCGACCCTAAAGCCGGGTCCTTAACAAGAAGAAGAGACCCCGGGGGTAAGGCGTATTTACTTTGGACAAACCGTTTTTTCACAAAAAATAAAAAAAGGATAACACGGACTGAGGAAAGTTCGTGTCAAGCCTAGGCTGTGTCTATAGAGGAAGAGTCCCACAAGACGAAAGTCTCGATACCGTCAGGACGGTCGACCTTCAATGCGGCCCGAGATACCCTCTGGAGAACAGGGTGTCTCTTCGAGGAAGAAGTAAGAATGACGGGGAAAACGCGATAGTGTCGCTTCACTTTACTGGTAAGCTCGTTCCTTATGTGTATAAACTTCCCGAAACCGAAAAACGTCGGGTCCACAAAAATAAATGAAGTTCCTCACCATACGAACTAGCTCACGATACAGACCCAAACGGATTTCTCTGTAATAGTTTCCTGAAACTTCGAAGGTTGTTAAGTTTTGTAGGTTTTGAGCTCCCCACTTCGACCCGAGTTCCTAGGTATGTAAGACCACAATGGAGTTTCGTGTGGTACTTTTGTCGTGTTTTAACTTTTTTGTTTTGCCGTACGTCTCGGGTTGTGAATGAGGACAGAGTAAGAGTGTGTGTTAGTGAGTGTGTGTGTTCGCATATTCCCTCCAAATTATACATGCTCACACATCCTCAAAACCCTTTACTCCCCTCACTCTCTTTTTCTCCTCTTTCTTTCTTTCTATACTCCCGCCTTTTTGACGGCTGAACGGACGATTTGGTTTAGATGACATATAACAACGAGAGACGATGGTGTGTGTGACATGTAGGTCTGTGTGTGTGTGTTGTGTGTGTAAAGAGTCGACTATGGTGAGAAGGTGTAGGTATTGGTTGTGTGAATGTAGGTATAATCAAAGTAATGTACATAGAGGTATACGAGCGACAGTCCCGGGGTAATATTTGTCCCGGTTTCCGTTGGTTCTTTAATGTTCGGGTACATTAAGTTACCATTTTACAGTGTAGACCGCCACTATATCTTATTTTTCGCTGTGTAACTTAATAAAAAGGAGGTTATATTTGGGACTGTAATAGTTTTACGTACTAAAATAATGGCCAATACCGCCTTCGTAGTTTTCTACACGCAATAATTTACCCTGCACCTAGCCTGTGCTCACCGGATTACGACTCCAAAAAACAAATTAGACTAAGACCAACGTTTTGATTAATTAGGTGGTTTTATTTACAACAACGATTAGAAACCTGTAATAGGTTCTGACACTAATTTCTTTTTTTTTTTTTTTTCGACTGGGGGGGGGGGGTTGTAAATAATATACCTTTTATTGACGGAAAAACGGCGTAACAAAAAGTATCCTTTTACGTTTAGTACAAAAAGTTTGAGCGCATCAAGTTCCCGAATTTTTAGGACTTGTATTAAATTGTAAACCATAAAACTAGTCCTGACTTCCAACTAACGTTGTCTAATTTGGGGTTTTTCAAAAATTTGTTATAANATTGTTCTCATTGTTTAAAAGTGTGTGTTATGGTTCTGGTGTGAAATAAAGCACAATAATTACATTTAAGACTGTTTCCCTTTTTTTAAGAAAAGTATCTAAAAATAATCGGAATCGCAATTCTTGACTTGGTATCGAAACCAAAATGCTGGTATCGTGACAACACTACACTCCACTGATGAATGTCCAAAAAAATGTGTCATGAAAACCACGGTTGCTAACACCTGTCTAAATCAGTGGACAACAACCTGTCGATCACGAGCGTGGTGCGGGTAGATCGCTCACCGTAAAAAAAAAAGTAACAAAAGCAGTCTTTAGCTTAGCGGTGTTGTGGTGAAGAAATGCAACAGTATTGTAGTTTATAGCCAGGGGTGCACATAACTGGTACGCATGCGCGGCAAAAATCTGAATTGCGTAACGTCACTTGTGTCACTACGCGCCTTTGCGTACCTCAAAACATCAAAACAAAACACATATTTCGTCTACACGTGTTTCTTGTCAACACTCAATGGAGTAAACTACGAGACATGTCAAAAAACCCAAATACATTAAGCAGCTACGTTGTTGTTTCGCTCCCTGCAAAAGATCTTCGGACTTTCTGTGACTGACATTGTGCAGATTGGTCCATTTCAGAATAATATATCTGATATGTTTTGTAATGATTGATTATTAAAGTGTTATCAAAGCTGGTAAAGGTGCAGCTAATTTTACACATTAGATCAAAGTCAAGTAAAGTACAAATATCTCAAAATTGTACTTAAGTACAGTACTTGAATAAGTTTACTTAGCAGCTTCCCACATCTGAAATCAGATATAACTTCAAGTCATGTGATCATTTCTTAGTATTTGATCCTTCCACTTGGCCTCAGGAAATGCAAGGACAAGTTTTGGAGAAAGCAAATCGGAGTCTTAAAAAGATACAGGGAGGTGCATCTTCATCATCATCTATNCTTCCGAAGAGGTACAGAGGAAGCTGGAGCACAATCGGCCATTGTTGTTGTTCTGTGAGCTGTGAGGGGTTTCCGCACGCTTTGGCTTTATGAAGCAGGCACGCAAACGGTTACGTCATGACGCAAACGATGACGCAATGACGCAGCACCAGTCAGAATCTAGGCTGTGTAGAAAAGAAGCCGGAGCTAAACCGAAGAACCGGTTCTGAACCTGAAAAGCTCTAGCACGGAGCTTGAACCGGAGTTGCGTTGGTGTGAACGAGGTAAGAGAGACGTAAGCGACGCCACCTCTTAGCTCTGAAGCTCTTGCCTCTAGAATTTTTTGGAGCTGGAAGTGAACCGGATTCCGGAGCTAAGAGGCTTACAAATTAGATCAAAGTCAAGTAAAGTATATCTCAAATATCTCAAAATTGTACTTAAGTACAGTACTTGAATAAGTTTACTTAGCAGCTTCCCACATCTGAAATCAGATATAACTTCAAGTCATGTGATCATTTCTTAGTATTTGATCCTTCAACTTGGCCTCAGGAAATGCAAGGACTTCACAGTTTTGGCAACAAGTTTTGGAGAAAGCAAATTGGAGGCTTAAAAAGAGACAGGGAGGTGCATCTTCATCATCTTCATCATCTAGCATGCAAGAAGTGTGAATAGAGGACAGTGAAGGAGACACTGAGGAGGACCACGCTTCGTTTGGGGTGAGTACCAAACGCTGTCTCCTGGTACTCATCTGAGTAACTCACTCCAAAAGTTATGTGCCCCCCTGACTATAGAAATACATTTTATTATTATTATATAGTGGAGGATGATCCTGATTAATTTCATTAAATTAAAATGTGTGGTATAATGTTTCCAATATGGCATTATTCCTGTTGGAGAGAAGACTCACTTTTTTCTTGCTCTCATCCATTGACCTTTGCTTGCACTTCTTCAGCATTTCTAAGTGCTTCTCCCTCTCCAGTTTCAGCTGCTCCTCACGCAGCCTGGAACATGATGCAGTACAAGAGAACAAGGTTTAACCTAACAGAGCTCATCACACAACCGCACCTCTCTACACATTGTTAATAAACCATTTACTTGTGACTGGCCTGCAACATATGACACTGAAAAAAGCTCATTTGCAAAGTCTTCCCATTTTTTTCTGCACTTTCTTTTATTAGTCTAGTTGCAACATCATAGAGTCCTATTGTGAACCTTATTGAGTACCACAACGTTTTCTGTTAGAAATGTATAGTACGGGTCCCCAGCACATCCAAACTGCCGGATGCTAACTTTAGTACAGACACTAGTTAAAAAATGGGCAGATTTGGACAATTTCTGAGTGGTATTGGGGGTTATTGAGGAGTCCATTTCTGACATTTTCAGGATCAAAAATTGCAGTTTTAACCATAAAATGCCAATCTTTGTTCTCTCTGTGGGCTGATTTGATTCATTTTGGGTGGGTTTAGAAGATTTAGGGGACTCTGGATCATTTGGATAGGACAGATTGCATATTTTGAAGATAAATTGTCTGCAGTATGGATAATAACCAGCCTGTCACAGAGAGTACACATATTGCCACCTTCTGGTTAAAACTGCTATTTTTGATCCTGACAATGTCAGAAATGTCCAGGTTCACATTGCTGGCAACCACACTAATCATATCAACTGCAGTGAATAAAAACACACCATTTGAAAAGGTTTAATGTCATATCATTTCCATTTATAACATATGTGAAAACTCAGAAAAGGAAACAAAGGATTATGTACATGTTGGGTGAAATATATGATCTGACCCCTCAAAGCATAAATACTGTGATCCACAATATATTGATCTAAACACCACTGGGATCCACCTTTAACTCCAGGCTCATAAACACAGACCTGCTCCTCCTCTCGCTGTCCTTGATCAGCCTCAGTGTCTCCAGGTTCTCTTTAGGGATGCTCTCCAAGAGCTGGAACAGTAAAGATATACGGTATTCAACACTGGACAGCTTCTCCAAGGTGCTGAGGTAGGTCAGACGGGAGTCCACGCAGCAGCGATGCACTTCACTTATCTTCACACCCAGAGCATCCGACATCGTATCCTGTAGGTAGGGAACAGACAGAAACACATATAAAATATCTGAATGAGATGCTGCAGGCCACACCCCTCTGTCTTTTTTTATATTTTTACATTTTCATATGGATGGATCAGGACAGAAAGAGAGCGAATCTTTGTTCCTGAAACGTTCTGAGTCTCTTAACACAGAGGGGACATGTGTGTATGTATAAAAGACATGAACAAGTGGATTTTGAATAATAGGCGACCTTAAAGTCACAGGCTCCTCGAACAATGCAACATAAAACAAAACAAGATAGAATGTAATATTACATTCTGTACAGTGAAATAAAAAATACTGTTTATTGTAATAATAGATCAATATTTCAGATGCACACAGATTGATGGTATGGAGTGGTAGCAGTCTCATGGCCTGTGGGCTGAAACTGTCCCTGAGTCTGCTGGAATGTGTGCTACAGTGAGATAGGATACCACTTTAGAGGATTTCTTGCTTTTTTGTTTTCCTTTTTAAATTGTAGATTAAATCAAATGAAAGTGTTCTACTCTGCTGCATCTAACGTACAGTACACTGGGCTTCCTTACGTGGTCCTCTGTCTTTAACGAGTCGTGGAGCTGAACCTTCCTTTTGAGCGTGGCGGCTCTCTCCTGGTCGCTGGCGATCCTTTCCTTCATCTCGTCCAGCTGCAGCGTAAGTTTCTCATCATCCTCTTCCCTGCACACACACAGGGGAGAGAGACATCCATCAGTTTATTGTCACATGCTGGTCACAGCTTAGTATCTAGCACTTCATGTTTTTCTTTTGGACATTTATTAAAACAAGTTCCTTGACAGCCAGTCTCACACAACATGGTAAAGTGTTGTGAAAATCCTGAATGTCCTCTTCCAATATGAGAGTAACATGCTAACAAAGGTATCCCAACTGTAGCTGTGAACATGACAGGATGTGTGATTACCTAGAAGAGCATCAGGACTGTTTGAGGCATATGATAGCTATGTGATTAACATGATGATTCAGCCTCTATGGAGAGAGACATATGACAAGCATGCTCATTTCTGACGTGGAGCTAATCTGAAGTAAACATTGAATACTGCTTTCTATTCCTCCATCTTGTGACTGTGTAACTCCCTCTCTTGGATATCAGCATGTGAAGGACACTGTTCAGGAACTAGTTGATGCTCTGTATGTGATGACTACTTCCATTCTGGAGAGGATCACAAATACATGGATCCTGAGATTGAAGCTCAAGCCGGGGACCAGGGAGATTTTCAAACAACTACTAACACAGCAAACATCAGCTTATAAGACACTTTTTCAACATCGCCTCTCACTTCTTGGCGGTCCTCCAAGTCCCACGACACATGGCTAACACACACACACACACAACACACACACACCACCACACACACACACACACACAACACACACACACACACACACACAGAATTACACTTACAGGAGCTGACAACGTGTCTGCTCATCCTGGTTCTCATGGCAACACGGTCAGCGGTGTGTAATGCTCTGGCTTCGTGAATGCACAAAACTCTGCAGGATTTCTAGCCGGTTTAAACTTGCAAATGTTTTTTTAAATGGTAAGACCTTTTTAGGAAGTTTAGACTAATACCTGTTTGTATTTAAACAGCTACAAGATTACACGGCAAGCATATTAGGGCATTTTTGACATGAAAAGAAGTCCCAATATGTACTGAACTGGCCAAAAGCAAAATAAGTCTAAATCTATTTTAATCTAATATCAAAAAAGCTAAATGCCTGATCGCACAGTATGGACAGAGTTACCATGGATTTCATCTACATATTTTGCCTGGAGATTAATTATTTGTAGTTTAACACAACCTAGGGGGGCCTGGTTTTAGGGATTATTAAAGTGTGTTTTACCTTTGTGAATTGCATTTATGTAAACAACATTTTTGCTTTGTATTTTAAATAAATAACATCAAAACCACATTTTGTTTTTATGTCATGTTAAAACACCGAAAAGGACCTTGTCTGAACTGTTACTTATATAAATACCTTTTTTTTTTGTTATCATTGTGGTTCAGTAGATTTAAAGATATCCTTTCATTGCAATATGCTAACCCCAAACCATGAAAACGGAAAAATTATTTGTTCTTTATTCTGTTTTTTTGTAAATGGGTACTGACATTTAACTCAACAAATATCAAAGTGTTTTTTAACAGATATGCTTAAAGAATTCAGGACCACGGTCAGCGACACACAGACTCCAGAATGTAATGAATGCCAACCCCCCGTGACGCACTAGAGGGGGTGTAACACATGGATAAGAGAACATTTAAAAGAGGTAAAAAAAGGTTGAAAAAAGTTTGAATTTTTAACGGCCTTGTGTTGTGTCGAAAGCTGTACCCGTTCATACAGGTGTTCGCGGGTCAAAACACTCAAATGAATGACTACATAAACCCATCATCCCGGTTTTAACTACATCATAACTAACCTTCATTCCATCTGCATTCATAAGCGCGTCAGCAATCGCGGTTGTAATTTTTATTTTATGGCCCCGCAAAAAACACATATTTAAGTAAAAGATGTGATCAATTCACTCATTATATTATCCTATCAGTGAGACGCGTGGATCATCTACGTTATCATGACTATAATAGACTCCATATTAGAAATACAATCTCCACCAAAATAAGTTTTAAATCAGTCTGTTTCTGGCAGGTGATGGCCCCACACGGCGCCGAGCGACCGCACTACCACCATGCATACATCCATACATACATATACACATACAACCAACACTATACTCACACACCATCACACAACAACATACACCATATACCATCACATCCATACACATACCATGCATACATCCACCCATATACCACACACACACCATACATCCATGCCATCATATACTCACATACATCACATACACACATCATACATACATCCATATATCATGCATATATCATACATCACATATATCACATACATCCATACATCACATAGATTCAACATACATCCATACATGCAACATATACTCCATATAACACACTACATACACATACATACACACATCCATACCCATAACAACACACATACCATCCAGACACTCCATGTAGCAGCCATACATCGATGATAGCTACATACATCCATACACGTGCACAATACAACCAACACATCCACATATCACATACACACATCACACACATCATACATACATATATCACATACACCCATACACCCACACATTATCGACTACATCATACATGCATATAGCCATAGCTTTTCTATCCAATAGAGACATACAAAAGTGGCCATCACCAACCAGATATATCCTTGATATAACAGAATCATATAAGTCCCATCAGGTTCATCCGAGAGCAAACCAGTTAATTGCTGCTCCACTGCTTATACATACATCCCATACATCCATATCATCCACTAGTTCCATCACATCCATATATCCATACTCCACATACATCCACATGAACATATCCATATATCCATACATCCAATATCCATACATCCATTAACATCCAATATATTCCACTACATCCATATAATCCATATACCAATAATATCCATACATCCATATATCCATACATCCCATACATGCCCATACATCCATACATCCATATATCCATAATATACATACATCCTATATCCATACTCATACATCGGCAGGAGGGACATCCATATATCATATATCCCATACACGGTCCATATATCCCATATATCCAATAGTCCATATAATCCATACATCCATACATCATTAACATCCCATATACCATAATATACATACATCCATATTCCATATATCCCATACTAATCCATACATCCATACCATCCTACATCCATACATTCCATATATCATATATACATACATCCATATATTCCATACATCCATAGATTTCCATATCATCCACTGATCATCCATTATATCCACTACAGGCTCCCATACATCCATACATCCATGACATCCATACTATCTATATACATAGCATCCATATATCCATCACATCCATCACATCCATACATCCATCATTCCCATACATCACATATAACCTCATCATATACCATACATCATCATATCCATACATCCATACAGCCATACAATTCCATACATCCATATATCCATACATCCCATACATCCATATATTCCATATATCATAACATCCATATATCCATTACATCCCATACATCCCAATACCCCCCCATACATGCCATACAGTCCATACATCCATAATCCCAATATAGTCCCCATATATCCATACATCCATACATCCATACCATCCATATATCCATATATCCATATTATCCATATATCCAATTGTACATCCAGTATGCAGAGTCCCATATACGCACTACATCACATACATCCATATACCATCATATCCATCATCCCTATATCATACATAACATGCCACATCCATACATCCATCACATCCATCATATGCCCGATACATCTCACTATATCCATACCATCATATATCATACATCCATATACTCATTCACATCCCCATACAGTCCATCATATTCCAATACTCCATACAGCTCCCATCATATCATACATCCGCATCATATCCGCATATATACACGTACACTCCAGTAC